TGGTGGTTGGTCACTAAAGTCAGCTTCCAGTCGGGCGAGGACAACATCTACCTTAAAATCTAACAACCCCACTGCGAGGGTGGGGAACAAAAGTTGTTAAGAACAATCTCGAAACTCCGGGCCCCTTTTGAAACAGAATCATCATGACCCTAGACCCTAAACCGCTAAGAGCATTTGACTGAAAATCATCAAAACTGAAGCGCCCAACCCAAAACCCTACGTCTTAGACTAAGCCCTTCACGTCCTCAATGCGGTTTAGCACGGTTATACGTCCCCTCAATCCGTGACCCTTCAAGTAGTTCTCAAACTAGCAATGAAGCTTCAAATGATTCAAACATGGGGGTTCTCAAGAAAGGGTGCCATTGAGGACTCTCAGATACATTTTGAGGCATATGAGCTACTGTCTAAACTCCTAGTATCCCCCTTAGTAACCCCTATAATGGTCCCCTATATAATCCCCTATAATGCCCCTTTAAGGAGTTTAGACTATGGCTCATATGGGGATCCTTATTCAGGATCATGGGGACTATTTTGGGAAACTTCCGCATACCCTTTAGCGGCCCTATATGCAGTCTCAATCGGGACCACAGCCGAGAAACGCCTACACCCTAAACCCCAAACCCTAAACCCCAAACCCTAAACCCAAACCCTGAATCTTGAGTTGCGAACGGTACCGCGGTGTGGACCACCAGAGCAGCAGGCACACGGCAAGCTTGGTTGCATGAGCCTCCGGGATTAACAAGGCTAGGGTTTAGGGTTTAGGGTTTAGGGTCTAGGGTCTAGGGTTTAGGGTCTAGGGTTTAGGGTTTGGGTTTAGGGTTTAGGGTTTAGGGTGGAGGGTTGAGGACTTATGGTTGAGGGTTGAGAGTTGTAGCGGGCAATATAGGGTTGAATAAGGATTATGAGGGTATATCAGGGTTAGAAAGGAGGTCTGGGGTCTAGGGTTTGGGGCTTAAAGCTTATAGCCTAGAGTTTAGGCTTTAGGGCCTTTGGCTCAGGACCTAGGGAACTTAGATAACGTAAGAGTTAAATGTATGATCTCCTCAAAAGATGACACCAAATATCTACGCGCACCAATATTCAATATTCCTAAGGAGACCACGCTGAAAACCCTACCTCACATTGCCTTGAATGATTGCTGGAGGAATTGAATGCCCCTGAACCCTAAACCCTCAACCTTAAACCGTACACTACATGGAAGACCCCTGGACTTTTTGAAAAAGGGTGGGGTACCCAAAGCCTTCAGGGATTCTATGAGGGTTAACCTTCAGAAGCTCCAGGATTTAGATTTGGGTTTAGGGTTTAGAATTTAAGGGTCTAGGGTTTAGGGTTTAGGGGCCAAGGATCACTCAGCATGGTCAAGCACGCTGGGGCCATCACCGACCGACTTGGTCGACTTGAGCGGGATCCATGGCCCATCATGCCGTCAAGCATGGTGAAAGATGGGCTACGTCCTACAGAATTTGACTCTATGTGAAATCTTGAATACTTAAGATGCTCAGATGCTCATTCTGTATGGCCCCACATAACCCTAAAACCTAAGCCCCTTAACCCTAAACCTTAAAACCCTAAATTCAAACCCTAGACCCCAAATTTGGGTAGCTCTGTATAGTTTGAGGCACGGCGAGGTGCAGCAAGCCCCTACACGAAACAACACCCGGTTGCACTATTTAGGGTATATCCATATATGAGCTATAGTCTAAACTCCTAGTATCCCCCTTAATAAGCCCTTTTATACTCCCCTATATAATCCCCTATATATCCCCCTTTAAGGAGTTTAGACTATAGCTCATATGGTTCCTTAGTTCAAGTCCCTGAATAGCAACCATGATATCGAGAAACCTGAGAATTCTACGTGCGTCGAGGAACTACAGGCGGAGTATGTCTGTGCGCATGGTGGGGCGATGCCATTCGCATGTTGAAACCTGATCGATCCAATATGCCATACGCCAAACACTGCTTGCTGAAACATGGGTTTCAGGCACGCTTTGCCGATGTGTTGGCAGCAGACAAGCTTCGCAACACAGAGTGATCGGCCTTGCATCACCACGCCCGCGTCCAAGTATTCTTGAAAAGGATCCGAGGTAAACATACATTTGAGCACATGCCCCAGCCCCTAAACATGTCAAACAATGGCCGTCTTGTACGAACTCAAATGTTGGGCAATCTTTCTCGGACGCGCCCCCAGACTGTGGTAAACCCCTCCCCTTCACAATAACACCCCGCCATCCCCCTGCCAGGAAATGTTCCCAACATGATGAAATGCTACAGGGTGACTACTTATTATTGACAGAGGTTGGCACTATTCCGGGTACACTTACCTCAGGAATTGGGATTGGGATTTAGGGCTTAGGGGTCGTGTTTGGCAGGTGATTCCCATGTTACTTTCCATTTTCTCATCCGCATGGCTCCCTACTCTAAACCCTAATCCATTCTCCATTATCCTCAAACCCCCTGAAGGACCCTAGGGCTCAGGGCTTGGGGTTTGAGGTTTAGGGTTTAGGGTTTGATCCTTGAAGCCCCCTGGATCAGACTCCTTTTGCGGCGACAGCTACGGCGGCCGGTCGACCGGCGGAAGGATCACTGCCTGAACAGCGTAGCAAACTCCCCAAACACCCCTAAACACTAAACCCCTCAACCCAAACCCCTAAATCCTAAACCTAAACCCTGAGACCTAAACCCTATACTCTAAAGCCTAACGCTAAACCCCTAGACCTTGAACCAAAGCATTTCAGGCTGAAGGTTGGAAGTTCAGTCGTTTTAGGATTTGGGGCCTGGAGTTTAGGGTTTAGGGTTATCCACAAAGTTTCAACCCTAAAACACCCTGAGCTCTCAGACACTAACCTGAAAGCATACACCCTAAATCCTCAACTCTAGACCCCAGGTAGGAAGCTCTCAAACTTAAACCCTAAACCATAGACCCTAAACCTTGAACCCTAAACGTCAGTTAGGAGGAATGAGTCCATGGTGGCAGGAAGAATAAGCAGCTCCAAACGCATACAAGACTCAGAGCTTAAAGGCTTAGGGTTTGGGTTTAAGGTTTGTGGCTCAGGGTTTAGGCCCTAAACCCTAAACCCTAAACCCTAGGGTTTGGGGTTCAGGGTTCAAGGTTTGGAGTTTCTGGTCCAGGGTCGGCTTCAGGTATACCAGGCCCCCCAAAAACTTTAAACGGGATCTATGTCTGTCCTATTGGTGGCTATTTGTACTTGGGGGTCTAGGTAGGGTTTGGGGTTCGGTTGTATTTTGGGTCTGGGGCTGGGGTTTAGGGTTTGAGGTTCGCTCTTTAAGTTACAGGGTTGACGGTTTGCTGTTTGGGGCTTGACCTACAGGGTTGGGGCTCAGGGTAGAAGTATAAGTCCCCGGGTTTAGGGTTTAGGTTTTGGAGTTCCTTCCCCGCATGGCTTTCAGTATGAGATTTGCTTATGGGTACCAACTACCCTTAACCAGAGTAGCATGGAATTCTAGATAGCCCCTTTTAAAAAGACTGTAATCTACTCCGTTTGCTGTTCCATTTTCGTTTCGCGTTCGTAGGGATATGCAGCGGTACGGTGGGATGTAATGGAATATATAAGGGTATGTAGGAAGATATAGCCGACATAGGCATCATGATTTAAGTTTTAAGATGTTTTTTTGTGGTTGGGCATGTATATCCCGCAAGAGGGTTTGACCTAAGTCTATATTGGGGACTACTGTACCCTCAATGTAAACGCTACTCATTATATCTTCATAAGTCCAATCAGATCCAAAAACTCTGATTCAGTATTCCTTGAAGCCAGCAGGAGCTGGCGCCCCCAAGGCCAAAACTCCGGCACCAGCTTCACAATTCTAAGAATACAGGAGACTGAAAGGAGGGACTCATACTCTCCCCCAAATGAATGAGGAACATTATATGGGTGGTTGTCAAAATCATGGTCCCTTTTTGGGTCCCTATTATAATATGGCACCTAATATTCAAGGTACCCAAAAAGGGACCATATTTTTAACAACCACCCATATACAAAAAGAGACGAACATTGTCTTTATGAGGCCCCTGTAGGCTTCAGGGGTTCCACGTCAGCTTGGATGAAGGAAGCAAAGCCACTACAGCCGCTCGTATGCATAGAACTAGTCTGGTTACATGATTCTGGCAATAAGGGCCCTAGGACTATCACATGACTCTTGTTGGGTTAATTCATTAATCCTAAAAGCCCCTGCATGACCCTCAGCTTCCCGTTTCATTGTCCATCGTCTTTTCCACTTGTTTCTTCGTCATAGGGGCAAAATCCCTAAAAACCTTAACCCTAAATAGTTTCCATTTTCTTTTCCTCTATCCCAAGACTCATTACCCTGTATAACACCTATATCAACCCTTGCTATATAACCCTAAACCATCCTAAAAACTAAGCCCTCAACCCTAAACATACCTTCAAACCCATCCCTGTATCATCCTCAGACCCATCTTCCCCTCAAATTCCCTAATCACACGGGTATAGGGTATAGGGTTTAGGGTTTAGGATTTCGGGTTTAGGGTGTAGGATTTCGGGTTTAGGGTCTAGGATTTAGGATTTAGGGTTTAGGATTCCGGGTTTAGGCTTCAGGGTTCAGGGTCAATCCCCCACGCAATAACGAGTATCACGATGTATGCAATGTATTATTGCAGGTATACTAAGGCCCTTTGACCCCCCTATATTATATAGGGGCCATTACTAGGGGGATCGACCTAATTCATCTATACATATGCATCTTTCCCTGTTTCCTCTTGGATTCCAAGGGTCATGTCATCCCTGTCTAGCAACCCCCCCCCCCCTGCCACATTAGTCTCTCCATATCTGTCTATACATCTCCATTTTCCAAAGGATCCTTAGATTGATCGTTTTTTCCTGGAGCTACTACCCTCCGCATAAACTCCTAAGCCCTAAACCCGTCCAACAAACCCTAAACCCTAAGCCCTATCCAACAGAATGGCGGCCTCCAGCTCAATGGTCTGCGGAAAGTGCCAGAAGCACTCTGGCTTAACGAACAAAGAATCCTGCTTCCGCTCCATGACAACCTCAAGCGGGCATGCTAGAAATGGGAGGCCCTCGGGTTTAGCGAATAGGGATTTGGCGTTTAGGATTTTAGGGTTTGGGGTCTAGGGCTTGGGATTTAGGATTTGGGTTTTAGGATTTAAGATTTAAGGCTTAGGACTCTGGGTTAGGGAGCAACCCTCTCGAAGTACACGGCTTACAACGGAAGTACAGACATGGATAGGGAATGGTTTAAGGGCGTAGTGCGTGGCGCAGGGTGATTTCTACCTGACTGTCCGTAAGGGGATTTAGGTAACCAAACCCCTTACAGGAAGGACCATAACCCTAAGCCCTAAACCCTAAACCCTAAACCCTAAACCCTAAACTCTTACTTATAAGTTCTTATTACAGAGCAGGGGTTCCCTAAACCCCTCAACCCTAGACCCCTAAACCATGAACCCTAGACCCCTAAACCCTGAGCCCTAAACCCCTAAGCCCCTAAACCTAAACCCCTAAGCCCCTAAACCTAGACCCCTAACTCCAAGTTTCCTGATGAAAAATGCACCAGATAAGACAGCCCAAGCTTGTGAAGAGATCGTGCGACGTTGCTCCTGTCCTCCGCCGCCGCTCGTGACATGCGTAAAGGTAGGATAATGGGGGCGGCTTTGCTATTACTACTTAGTAAGTACATTTATCAACATTAAAGCCATGTAATACAGTAGAGGTCAACGACCCCGGCTATCCATATTGCTGACTCTAAAGCCCAAAACCTTAAACCCCAAAGCCTATGTATCCTGATACGAACCTTGTAACCCCCTTAAGGGGATCCTCTAGGACGCCCCTAGCACGCTAAAACGATGCACGGGTTCTTACCACATACCTAGAGCAAGGATCTCCTCCCCCTATTCTTAAACTCCCCCCACCGCCCCCCCCTCCCCCCCCTAATCTTAAATACTCAACTATTTTACCCTCCCTACCATCCAAAAAATCCAGCTCTGAATAACTTATATGGTTGGTTGTCAAAATTATGATCTCTTCTTGGGTACCCTAAATATTAGGTGCCGTATTATAATAGGGACCCCAAAAGGGACCATAGTTTTGACAACCACCCACATGTATGCCCTCAACCCTGCCCAAGCTTCCGCAACAAGCCCTCACCAAGACCCCGGCGCCCTCCTCTTCCAGCAGACGCACCTCAAAACAGATGGGTTGAGGGCCTGGGGCCAGAACTGCTCTGGAAGCTTTTTTCAACATGATTCCTGCCCATCATCCCTGTGTAATCCTCATAGGTTCCTAATGACACTAAAGGCCCAGATTGAGAAACTTCTATCTACATTTGGGTATCGTTGTTTGGGGTACCTACAGGTCGTTAACGCGCAAAAAAATGCTTTTCGGCCTGAGCCCATCGGAACTGGCCTGCGTGGGACGAACGGCACTTTTGGACCTTCCGAGGCCTCAAAATCCTTGCTGCCACCGCGCATGGCGTATTTCGCTGAGCATCCATGCGGCGACCATGACAACATCCACCCCTTTGCGCACGGTTTCCAATAGCATCCATGCCAAACCATGATGCCGTTCGTGTTCCAAGGACATACGGTGACCCAGAGCATCCATGCCCAAACCATAATTCCATTCGTGTTCCAAGTGCGTGAGGTGACCCCGAACCCCAAACTCCAAACGCTACAGAATGTTGGCCCCGGCCCAGAACCTGAAGCCCTAGACAGCCACAAAATGGTAGGAATCAGGAAGGACTTTCAGATCGGGATACTAGGAGTTTAGAGTATACCTCACGTAGAAATCCAAATTGAAACTAGGGGCGGTTTGGGGCTTAGCGGTCTATAGTGATGTGCAGGGATGCATCGGGTTTAGGGTAGCAAGGGGCTTTGAGATATGACTATAAGTACATTACAACTATTATAGGGTCCCTATGACAGGGGCTGTACTTAGCAAACCCCAAAACCTTCTTGTTACCAAAACCAAAATCCTAACCCTACACAAAATCCTAACCCTAAACCCTAAACCAGAAACCCAATCCCTGAAACCTGCTGCCTGTAAACCCTAAAACCTAAACCATCCAGAGCGCCTTTGCTTGCATTTGCCCATCTTCCAGACAGGTCGCGCCAAAGTAGCCGCCAAGAGATCGGTCAGCTGGCAAAAGACTGCTACTTGTATTTTAGGGTGTAGGGTTTAGGGTTTAGGGTTTGTAGCGGAATATTTGGATGTAGGCTTTTCGATTTAGAGTCTAGAATGTAGAGCCTAGCAAAATCGATCGTTCTGAAAGGTCACAACGATGACTCAGATAGCGTTTTGCAGCTTTTGCATGCGTGATGCAGCTTGTTAGGCTGCAGAGGTCTTGGCAGAGAAGGCATTTGCATGATGTAGGCCGGCTGTGAACATGCATAGGGTTTAGGGTTGAGGGTTTAGGGGGACGGCCAGGGTTCTGAGTTACCTCCAGGCATCTGCCCACATTTGGCCATATCTCAATCTACGACTCAAAGACCCTTCCGATAGGAATCCCAAATAAAGACTCCAATTGTGAAACACCCTGCAATCACATTATCATCCCGGAATCATCCCTGTCGACTTTCGCAGAACATCAGCTTCCCAAGAATCCTTGCTGGTGGTTAGTAGGATCTGAAGCCATTGGTCCCTAGATAGTCTCGTAAAGTAGCCCCTGCACCCCGCGTTCCTTCATTCAATCATAACCACCAACGTGCAAGTTGCCTACACCTGCGAAAAACACCGAAAGCACGGCCTCTGACAATTCGGTGGCATGGCACCACTGGGGCGTGCGGATTCCGTTTAAGTGCCTCTGCAATCGCTCAGGATATGGGACAGGACGTGTACCCGGGATCCCAAGAATTATTTGCAGCACTGCTTCTTGGAGCCCCTGATATTGGCCCCTGGGCCTTTCTGGATTCTAGGGACCTTTCAGGTATATAAGGATCCCAGAGTTCAGGGCCCACAATCGCGGCCCACGGTTTCACCCTTTGATCTTCTCGTATCCACTCAACCCGTTCGCAGTCGTGGCGGAATTGCTTATAAGGGGCTTTGGGTTACCCCACTCCCAGCGATCAGGCCCTTATAACGATCATATGAGCATAACAGGGTCCCAATTTTAGGAGTTGGGGTTGCTAAACCCCAAGCTTTAATTAAAGGAATCGTCGCTATGGGACTGTTGCTGGCTTTGCTTGGCGCTCCGTATCTTCGTCCGCCTTTCTTTGTTCTGCGGGGCCTGCTGCTAAGTGAGGCCGGTGACATACCTATTCGATCAATTGATAGTAGTTTCCATTTTCTTTTCCATTATCCCCTCGATTTGATTCTCCATTACTGGGATACCATCCCTGAACCCTATACCCAGACCCTGAAGGCGTATAACGATTCTCCCCCATCATCCCCTGATCCTTGTATACCAGTACATAACTCTCGGTAACCCTGTTGTCACACCTTGATGTAGCCCCATATATCTAAACCTTAAACCTGTAACCCAAAACCCTAGATATGATTCCGCGCCCATTTCTCTGTAAACCCTAAACCCTAAACTGCACAACACTTGCCGGGGATCGGGTCTCGGTGCAGAATTTTAATGGGCCTATAGGACTTACAGGCCATATAGGGCTTATAAGATTTATGGCGTTTGTAGGGCTTATATCGGGTTTGTAAGCTTATAGGATATATGGGGTTTGTAGGGTTTATGTAGGGTTTATGTACGGTTTATAGGGCTTATAGGCTTGTTAGGGTTTATAGGGCTTGTGGGGTGTATAGGGTTTATGGGGTTTAGGGCTTATTTGAAGGGCCATTGAGACTTAGTAAGTGGTTAGTAACGGCTAGGGTTTCTCAAGGAATCAACCTCGTGTTTCCTTGTTTACTGAATACTTTGTATACTCTTGCATCCAGGACGAACCCAGATCCAGGATCAGAGAGGGCTCCTACAGGAAAATCTGTTGGGGGTAGCATTTGTTTTGTACAGCTTCTGCCTATTGCTTTGGATCAGGCCACCCTAAACCCCAAATCACTTGCGTTGAAGGATTTGTGTTGAAGAGAGGGAGTATCATGGTCCCTACCAGGAGCTCAGGAGCTCTTCGCTACGTCTCATCTCCATGAAAGTCCTGACTTCTCCAAACCCTGAACCCCAAACCCTAGACCCTACACCCGAAACGCTAAAGCCCAAACCCTGAACCCTAAACCCTAAACGGGTAGGCAATGACTGGTTACTCCAGGGTGCTAGGGCTTACGGTCGAGGACTTAGAATTTGAGTGGAGCCCCTAGATGGGCCCGATGAAGACCACCTTCTTTTTCAAAGGGGGGCATGTAGAGTTTCATGTTAGCTTGAGGTAGGATGAAGGTTTAGGTTTTGGGGCTTGGGATTTCGGGTGGAGCGGTTTTTCTGTGAACTCCCCAAACAAACATTCCCTGCCAAAAAAAGCCTGAAGCCCCGAACCCAGCCCCTGAATCAAAACGCGGGCTTCCCGCCCGTGGTCTCGCGCGTATAGCTTCGCAGGGCTTTGCGTGGGTTGGCGTGGCTTCGCGTGCGTGGCTTCGCGTGGCTTCGCGTGGCTTCGCGCGGCGCCTGGTTTCGCGGGCTTGGCGTGCGGCTTCGCACGCGCGCGACTTGGCGGGCTTCGCGCCCATTCTGTGCGTCCCGAGAGCGGACCATTGTGCCTGCAAAGGGAGTCTACACATGTGGGTGCCGAGGAGGGTATGAATAGTTTCTAGACTCTAGAGAGCCCCATAATAACAATACACCTTGATCAAGGAATATACCTTAGCTTTACCAAGATCCCTAACATGAAATAAGGAATATTCCTCGATTAAGGGGTATTGGGCGCCCTGGGTTTTTCTTACCTACATGGTCAGGAGCCCAAGCCTAGCCTCCGGAAACCGCAAAGACATCAACCCTTCTCACTGACTATCCCCGCTACAGTGGGGATATCAAAAAGGACAAGGTTCTATCCTATCCCAGGGTTCACAATGCGAACCCAAAGCCCTAAATCCCCAAAATCACCCCTAAAGACGCACACGCGAGAAACCCGAAACTGGAAATCTTCCCTACAAACCCTGTAACAAGGACATGCATCCCCTATTTAGCCGCACATACTCTGGATTCTCCATCAATTATCGGGGTACGACGTACTGTCCCTAAACCCTAAACACCTATTAAATGTTAAGTTAAAACATGTGGTTAAACTTTATCCCTAAACCCTATACATCACTATGACCCCTTAAAAGGACATCTGGCCCCCTCAACTCTAAACCCCTAAACCCCAAACCCTAAACCCTAAACCCCCAAACCCTAAACCCTAAACCCCTAAACCCTAAACCGCCTGGCCGACCGAGCGCGGGCTCCATCCCTGGCCCAAAACCCGGGAGACCTCCACGTAGCTACTCACACGCCTGGCGAAAAAAAGGGATGGCCATGGAGGATTTAGGGTTTAGGGGTTTAGGGTTTAGGGTTTAGGGTTCAGGGCTTAGGTTTAGGGTGTAGGGTTTGAGGGGGCTTAGGATTTAGGGTTAGGGTTCGGGATTGAGGGCTTAGGAGCTAAGGGTTTGGGACAATCAGAACTACTATACACACCGTTTAGGGTGCGAAAGGGGACATTACTCTACAGAGGGGACAATACTCTATAGAGAGAGAGAGAGAGGAGACACACGACATACAGACATACATAGATATGCACATATGTACGCACGCAAATACATACATGCATGCAGGCATGCAGGCATACATACACACATACATGCATGCATGCATAAATACATACTTGCATGCGGATTATACAGGGATGGTTGAAGGGATCCTTGCAACTGACTAACTAAAAAAGAACAGGGATGATGCTTTGCAAGGGATACCTACAATACCTGCCCCTGCTTAGGATTTAGGGTTTAGGGACTTGAGCACTGGGGCAGTCGTTGTCATGATCCCACTAGAACCCTATAATTGTCCTAGCGCTTTAAGGCTTCTTTGTTCAAAGCCCGTTTCAGCCATAGTCTAAACTCCTAGTATCTCTCTTAATAACACCTATAGTGGTCCCCTATATGATCCCCCATATAACCCCCTTTTAAAGAGTTTAGACTATAGCTCATTCAGGGTTTTTGGCTTGACGAGATTGGATGAGCTGGACAGCTTTCGACTTCAGGGTTCTGACTTGCAATTAGCAGCTGAGTGGGGCCTGGTTTCCCAGAACCCTCAGAGGATCCAAAAAATGGACACCCCAACCCCCCCCCCCCAACATGAACCCCATTACTACGTTGGGGGAACTAGGGGAGTACTAGGGCGGTTCCATTTTCTGGATCCTTTAGGGGGTCTGGGTTGCCGGGATTAGCAGTGGGGACGATGGATGATTTCAAGGAGCCCTCATTACCTACCAAGCACCGGGCAGGTGTCAGGTCGAATTCCAAGAGTTTGAGGCATAAAGCGCAAGGCCTCTAAAAATATAGACTGTGTAGGGAGTACGCGGGATTGCTTAAGCAAGAACTCTGTGTTTTGTAGTTTGACAGTTTTTGGTTCGGCTTTGTCGCAACTACTTGCAGCCTAGGCTTTTGATGGCTTGTGCGTCTGGGCGTTGCGCACAGCTAAACAACAATAACAATGGCGTCCAAGCATCATGCTTGCTACTACCGCTCAACATTCCTAACTAGATCCCAAAAAACTCGAAGCCCTGGCTCCGTAGCCTTAACCGGTTTCCCGACAAGGAAACCAGAAAGTGTACAACCCTAAACCCTTAACCCTTAACCGCGTACCTATAGGAAACCATAGGTTTAGGGCTCAAGGGAGCCATAGCAGAAACAACCTTGCTCGGGATCTCAAAGCATAGATTCTAAAAGTGATTCCTGAAGATGCTATTAGCATGGAGTGGCGTGCCCATCCGATTGAGGGTTTCGGATTTAAGGTTCCGAGGCCTAGGGCCCTACACGCTACAACAGCAGTGGAAATCCAGTAGTAACAACAGTAGTAATAGTAACAATAATAGTAACAAAAATAGGAATTATAAAATGATAGCAGTAATAGACGTGCCCATCCGGTTTAGAGTTTCGGATGTACGGTTTGAGGGGTTTAGGGTTCATACTGTTGATGATAGTAAAGATTCTGCATGAGCCAGTATACGATACTACCGAGGTAGAAGGAACTAAGGACCCTGCAGGATTTCTAATATCCACCATAGACGCCATAGAGCCCAAAATGACCCCCAAAACCCTAAACCACAAAGATTGAGGTCCCTTCAGTTACTTGGACCCCTGTTGGTCTGGCACCCGACACCTTGCTCTACGGACCGAGGGGCGTACACGCTACAACAGCAGTGGAAACTCCAATAGTAACGATAATAATAAAAACAATGATAGTAGCAAACATGGTAATTACAAAAATCATGATAACAGGATTAGAAATCAAATCGTAACAACAACAAGAATAGTCACAAAAAAATAATACTGTTAATAATGATAATAGCGATAATAATACTGCTAATACTAATAGTGATTCAGTTAACTGTGTAATAAGCAAAATAATACTACTAATGATAAGAATACAATACGAATGACCGTAGTAATTAGGATAAGTGCAATGCGACTAACAATCAATTCCGAAATCCAAAGCCCTGGATCCAAAAACGTGAACCCTGAACCCGGAGCGCTAGGGCCTCTCCCTCGACTGAGCTGTCGTCTCCTATTCTTTGGAGGGCTTATATAGGGGAGTATTGTCGGGGTTATAGGGGTTATTAAGGCGGATACTAGGAGTTTAGACTATAGCTCAAATCTCCCAACCCTGTCCTTAAACCCCAAACCCTTACTTGGAGGGCCAGAGAACTTCGTAGGCAGGTTAAGAACCTCTATAACCCATACAGTAACCCTGGTTATCCCTATTAATAAACTACCTGCCCAGTCCCCCCGACCCTCCAAGTAACAAGTCCTGAAGCAGCGTTTTCGAGCTACAGGGGCTTGCCAAGTAGGTCTGGCTCTCCGACACTGTTGGCAAGTTTCACTCTGTCCCGCATTGACTCTGCGGCAGTGGGTACCTCGTGGCAATTTAGGGTTTAGGGTTTAGGAGGACCCCCCACCCTGTAATAGTGGTATAATACGAATATAAGAGGACCCGAATACAATCACTATTATCCCTTTTTTTTGACTATTACTGGGTGGGGGGTCCACCTAATTTATGGTCATGATTACGTTCTGGTGGCTGGCAAGGAATTGAAAGCAAATGCTGGGCAGAGCTTGTCTGGGTCTCTGGTGTTTGACTCAAGCTCGTCATATGTGGGGGGGGTGTTCTTAAACTGCAAATCCTGGGCCTTTATAGGGATACAGATGCAGTAGTTGGATCCTATGCGCGCTCACGTGAGCTATAGTCTAAACTCCTAGTATCCCCCTTGATAACCCCTACAATAGTGCCCTATATGATCCTCTACATATAACCCCCCTGCAAGGAGTTTAGACTATAGCTCATGTTGAGACACTCACACATAGCATCTCGACCGGATGTCTCCTTCACAGTAAGTCTTGTTGGTTTTATACTGTTATGGGAGTATGGTCCATAATAACTTTACATCTGTTTTTTCCTGGGAATAGCCCACTAAGTGTAAAACAAGTGGAGCGTGTCATCGCGTTGCAAACTGGATCATCATGAATCATTGCAAATGGGAGGACATCTTATTGGGTCAATCACACTATTAAGGTTACTGCAACGAAAGCACACTGAGAGCGCCAAGAGTAGTGGGGCGGATAATCCCCTCCCAAAAAAAGTGGAAACCCCATAGATGTCTCCCTCAGTTAGTCCATGCTTGCCAAAGTATAGCCCAAAAAAAACCCTAAATCCCATAAAGCCCAAAACCCCCAAAACGCTCTAAATCTTTGAATCTCCCTAAACTCTCTAAATCGCCTAGCCCACCCAATCCCTGAACCCTAGGCCCCAACACCTGGCTGTAGCTGAGCGACAGAGCCAATCACCTGGCTTACCCCCAGTGGAGCTTCGCAGGCATGGGCCAAGCCCCTGAAAGGGAGGCCTTCTAGGCTCCTTCGTGGGGTTTAGGCTTATAGGGTTTAGGGTTTAGGGTTTGCTTACCATCTCACCCTGAGAATGTTGAGGGCTCAAGATTTAGGGGTTGAGAGGAGTGAAGGGATTCAATGTTTTCGGTTGGGGGTTTAGGGTTTAGGGCTGGCAGTTTGAGGTTTAGGGTCTGTGATAGCTCCTCCTCACAGAGTATGCAAATGTGTTAGGAAAGCATGTGTTGCTATGTGGCAGGGGGCTGTCAATGTTAGGGAGGCGGCTTAATAGACATCATTCGGGTGCGGCTTACTGTTAAAGAGCTTAGATTAAGTTACCATCTTACGGACGTATGGAAAACAATGGCATTTCCTTAACACAGGATTTTGTTTCAAGAAACTCCTCAGCAGCAACCCAGTTCAGGGTTCGGGCTCAGGGGTGCCGAGTTAAAGGTTATCTCACGTTGAGCCGGTTCCCGTCCAGAGATACTACCTAAGGATCAGATTGCAGGACAACGCCTTGATTTAGGCAAGATGTTCCCTACCCTAAAAAAACCATAGAAACCTTTTAAGAAAGCTAGGCCCTAAAACCAAAAAAATGTGACCTTTTCTTGGCTCCTTGATGAAGATGTGCACCATGGCAGACCGAGAACGCGAGTTGCGCCGGACCTTGGCGCTGTGTGAGGGAATCTGGGGGCAAGCTTAACAAAAGGCTTAGCGTTTAGGGTTCAGGGAGGGTTTGGGATTTGGGGTTTGGGGCTTAGAGTTTAGGGTAATAATATGACCCCTGGACTACAGTTCCATCAAGTACATATTCTTTAATAGGTGCCCCGGTACCCCCTGTATCACTACACATTCCCCTGTGGGTTCCGCTCGTAGCCAGCATAGGCTAGGAGATATACAGAGGCTGAGTAAGTACCCGAAAAGGTAAGGAGGGAGCACGCAAAAGAGACATTCGAAAACAAGGCCTGCGCTGGCAAAAACAGCAATGCACAAGGAATAGACCAGAAGACAGAACAGGAACCGAACACAAGGTTTTTCTTGGACCCACCCTGAACCCTCAACCCTACTTGAAGAATCGGGGTAATATAGCAAAATGATAAGCCCTCTCAGACTCCTGAAAAGGCTTCCATTGGGTGGTGACTACCAGTTAGAACCAGTTTTGGGCTATAACCCTAGACCTCCCAAGTAGCCCTAGGACTCCACGCCCTGTGCCTCCTCTTGCGACGGCCGGATTGGAGCTATGAGCCGGCGTGCGGCATAGGGCTGGACGGAGGAGAGCCTGATCCGGAATGGAATGGATCAGAAAGTGCAGTCTACCATTAAAGGTTTATAGTCCCCCTTAAATAGATAGAATATGGCTTTGGGTATATTATAATAAGATCCCCATATACCCCATATTCTATCTACTTAAGGGG